TGAAGGGTATCATATTGTCGGCCTTCTTTCCTTACCGGTTTATTAATAACATGCCGGACCATAGTACGACCTTTTTCGTAATAAGTCTCAAATTATAATGCTAAAATTCCTCCGTAAAGATTTGTATGAAAAATATGTCCTAAAACTTCGGGACCAGAAAATGTGTTTGTTAGAAAAAAGTGTAACGCATTATAAGTGATGTATGGGTGAAATCAATATAAATTTATATAATTTGACACACGCCATAGAAATTGCAAAATTTTGTGTAATTTGGAAGGCCGGGGGTTGATAAAACTGACGAAGCTATATATAGAAGCTATATTATTTCGCATGAAATCGTACCTAATTATATCTGATATATATATATATATATATATATAAATTTGAAATTAATCAATTTTAATAGATTGTGTGAATGGAAACTGCTCGTTTTTTAATGTAAATATGTGTCTATCGTATTACTTTCTACATTTTTATACCCTTTACCACACTGTGGTATAGGGTATTATGTCTTTGTGCATATATTTTAAATGTAAATCTCTATTTACATTGTTCCGATATGCTCCTATCCTGTCAGATTATCGACATTTTTAAGATCCATAGTAAAAACTTTCATAAAAATATCCTGATTAACGTACCTTCTTCAAAAAAAAAGTTGTTTGTTTTTTTATAATTCATATTTTTTTATTTATTTCTTTCTTCATACTTAAAATAATTAATTAATCTCTTCATTATATTACTGTTTCCCTTTCATTTCTTTTTGTTTTGCTTCAGTTTATTTGTTTGTTTAATTTTGAATTTAATAATACTACACAGTATGAGCAAAAACTTGATTTGTGTGTTTTTTTAATTGTTTTCATTTTATAGAAATTTCGTCTCTGTTCAACGTACAATAAATTTTCTTTACTAAATTCTCCCATCAATATCGTAAGATTTATTACTTGTTTTTTCTAACAGCTAAACTTATTAAATTTAAATGTTATCCTTTTTTCGGTGATAGTAAATTTCTGAAATATATTTATTTTAATATTTGTTTCCGAATTATCATTGCAACAATTTAGGTATATGGGTGTGTGTCTATATATGAGAAATTGTGTGACTTTTATTAGATTTTATTTTTGTATTGCGACTACATTATTTTGTTTTTACAATTTATTTCGGTGTAGTTTTATTTTTAATTTTTTTCGTATCTCAAAATTCCTATAGATTTTTTATTTTTTAATTTGCAATAACAGGACAGTAATTTAGAGAATAATTCTCAATGCATTTAATTTGTTTAGTTGTAATTTTTTTTTGTATTTTTTATACACTCAGATCTTTTGTTTGTTGCTGTTGTTGCATTTGTTTAACAATTACATTTATGTATTTATAAAATTCTTGATAAACTTTAATTTATTTTAATTGTATAGGTATTGTTTGCAAGAGTTTGATTTTGTTTTCAAATTTAAGGTGGTGTAAGTGATTTGTTTTTATTTAATATTTACCTTTTATTGATTTTTTAAGTTTATTTTTAGAAAAATATATTTTTTATTCTACATATAATCAATTTCTGTTTTTAATTTTAAATGTTTAATTTAAAAACTCATGTTGGAACAAAGAATATAATTTTAATTTGTTTTTTATAATAAAAAAAACATTAAATAAAATTGCATGAAAAACATTTCAACTTTTAAGACCTTCAAAATTTGGGAGAAAATTATCAGGATATTTTGTAAAATTTGAATAGCAATTATTTGTGTGAATTTTTGAAAATTTTGAGATACTGAAATTGTATTTCTTGAAAACTATATAAAAACATTCATTATTGGCCTGGTGTTAACAACATATTTGTCTGAAATATAATCGCCAATATAAATATGCCATAATCATACATGAGTGTTTTATAATCCATGTTTTTGTGTTGGGTCAAATATATTTTAATACTTTGGACGCAGTGTATCGGAGTAGTCTAAAACTTTTATTTTAATTTTCTGCCGTGTCTTATAAATGATAGACTGGTACATGTGGCATACAAGATATATACAGTCAATATAAAAATGGAAACTAATTAAAATTAAGCTTCTATCTTTAAATTCAGAAAGTACTCCAACCGGCTTTGACAGATATTTAAAAAACTGCAGAATTTCAAGGGATGGAATGCGCTTTTGACAAAAGCATAAATTCTATTAAACACTACCTAAATATTATATCTAAAATTCTGATGTACTGAATAACACTCTACATATAATTTATATTTAAATTCGGAACACTTATGAGGCCAATTTGTACATCAAAAGGTAAACATATTGATTTATATATACACATATTTTTTATACCCTCAGCCTCATGGCTAATGAGAGTATTTACTCTTTAATACGACAAAAATGTGCTTCATCGAAATATTGGTTTTATAACCTATGTTTCTTTGGATCAAATCCGTTTCAGACAATCTGGAGCCGATTTACGCATGCCCTTCTGTCTGGCCATCTGGTGCGCAAGATAATTATCGAAGGGAGTAACCAACTTCATTCAAAATCTGCACTTTTGTAAACTTAGTTAAAGTTTAAAGATGGTGAATATCGTTCCATTATTTCTTTGGGGGAGGTACCCCCCCAACAAGTTAAAAAACTATGCTAAAAATAATTTTATAATATAATGCGAACAGATTCGTATCAAACTTTGTACAATATATTATCCTTACCAAGCCTAGATCAAGTATGAAAATGGGACCCAATTGGTCCACTCCTTCTAGTTTCTCCCCCACAAATGTTTAAAATAATTTATAAATCTAATTTCAGGCGAATGGAATGCCCGATTTGAACCAACCTTTGCGCAACCTATTATCTTTACCAAGCCTAGATTTAGTCCGAATATGGGACTAATTGGTCTACTCCTTCTGGTATCTCCCTAAGGCTTTTGGCCATATTGTAAACAGTGAAGGTAGTGTAGCATAAAAACACACGCATCTGCCGGATGAGTGTAATTTACGAAAAAATACCAGATTGGAAAATGGACTTTTGTTGATGCTATATGACACAAATGCGACAGTTCTACAATGAGTTGCGGTCCCGCTTTGCGTAGTTTATCTGAAGAATTAAAAATTGGAACTCAAAGGTCTGGTCTACTCCTTCTTCTCCTTCTGGTAATTTAAAAAAATTATAAATTTTAATGCTCCACCTCGACACTAGACAGTAACTCCGTAAACCTCTGCAAACCATAGACTGAGGGTATATATCTGTCGGCAACATTGTCTGACAAAAAGCAATCACCTATATACCTATAGAGCGATAAAAGTCAGACAAATGTTTTACAGTCAAATTCCTTGTTAGAGTTGAAATTTCATGACAGAGGAAAATACAAAATCTGGCTGGAAAATTTTATTTAGTTTTGTGTACTAAATCAGATGTCTGTGGTAGACAACAATGCTATATTGCCTAGACCTAGGCAATGTTACATATAATGTATTTTGATCGTTATTATTTTAATATAGTAACATATATAATACGTCACATTACTAGTACATAAGATGAGGTAAGAGGTTAAATTGTTTACGACTTTGTTAGTTGACTTCCGTTACTAAACACTGCCAATTAACAATTAAGACATGTTTCCATATCTGTTTATCTTTGTTCATGTCATACAAATGCCCTAGCGATGATCCCATACATAACGTTGTAGCCCTAAATTGTAATTTAAAACATCACAACGTTTTACAGTCATTTGGCTCGACTTCCATTCTTTATTTGCCAATGTAAGTCATTTTTAATATACCGATAATCTAATTGATGTGGAAAATCATAATTAATTAACAAATATTTGTAAATGTATTTAATTGGTTTATTGAATAATAATAATTTATGTATGCTTGTATTGAATGTACGTATGTATGTATATAATGTGACACAATATTTACAACCTGTTTTTGTAAAATTCCAAACGAACGAATTCGAGTGTCTTACGACCAAACCTTTATTTATGTTTATAAAGGTTTATATAATGTGTGACAATATTTTCAAAACCAAGGATTGATTTGTGTTTTGATTTCTCTTTTTTTTGTGTGGGGAAATTTTTATTTGTTTTAATATATATTTATTTATAAATTTATATCATAAATCACTGTGTTTAATGCTAAATCTATATTAATCAACTTAACAACTAATAGAGGAAGGACGAAGAATTTACTGTTTATGCATGTTTCTTCTTTTACGTAATAATAATAATTGTAATAATAAATTATTGACAAATACAAACAATATTTTTCGTTTATAAATTAATATAATTAATCGTTAAATATTATTTAATTTCGTTTTATTTTCTTTTTTCATTTAATATAGTTTATTTTTTATTTGTGGTGTGAGTGGGTGTTTTAGTTTTATTATCATTACAATCAATATACACATATTAAATTTAAGAGTAGATTTATTGGATGTTTTGTTGTTGCTTTAGTTTAGTTGAATGTTTGTGTTACTAGATTTACGTTATAGTTAATATTATTGTTTTTTGTTTTTAACACATTTTGTTAAAAATAATTATCAAATTTTCCTTAAACGAATCTACTACTCTGTCAACAGTTGAGACATTACCAAAACGACACATGTCTAAAATCAACAAAGAATTCAGAATGTATTCCTTTAATTTTTTGCTTGTTGCTAATTTTTTCTATTATTACATTCCGGGTGTGTGTATGGATTTTGTTTGTGGTTGTGTTCGAAATGTATCTTGCGTAAGAGAAAAATACTTTTAGAATTTTACATGGTTTATTCATTTTCATGGGGTTCCCTTTTGTTGTTGTTGTAACTTCAAATAGTAGAGTATTATGATAACATTGCCGATTTGCTGCTGTTTTATTTTGTTTTGTCAATAAACACTATTTGTTTCTTTAGACATCTTATTCATAAATAATAAACTTGCCTCTAAGTTTTCTTTTTTACAAATTACTTTACTCAATAACTTTTCTTTTATTTCAAGAAAGTGTGTAATTTTTTTTTTTAATTTTCTTTGTAGTGAATTTTTATTTTGTTTTTAGTTTTGGTAATACTAAATATAAGCCATTTGTTATTTTGTGTTTGACCAACATTAACATTGTTTTGTTTGTATTTTAATAACTGGCCTCGTGTCCGGCCAAAATGTATAGATCATGACCCTCTTCACTGCCCAAGGAACCAGTTCGTAACAATTGACTTTCTAGTGCCACCACTCTGTAAAGAAAGATGTAAATATTATGCGATGATTAATTTTGAAGTGTGAATAGAACGTTGTCGGAGTAGATTGGAAAATTCTAAATTAAAATCGGAGCGAACGAGGTGTTCGTGTATAACCTTAATTATTACCGTAAAATGCATAGAAAAGTAAGAAAAAAACATTGAAAAAAAAATGATAAAGATGACTTAACGGACCGGAAGCCCATTAGTGACCCTTGACTCATCGAAAGCTTCCGACGATATGCTGTTGGAGGATACAGAGATGGCTACCCCTCCAATCAATATTCAAAGGCGATTTGAATCGAACCCAAATGCAGTTGGAAACCCAAATAAGTTGCAATAGAACCTTCGAAAGGGGCCTATGTAGGGACAGAAGTCCCACCAGTGCGAAGAATGATAAAGACGTGTTTTAATCGCACAAACGGAGTGCGGGTAAAAGGTACCACGACTCAAAATTATTCCATAAAACCAATGGCTTTGAAGGCTATTAATTTTTGGGATGATTTCGAACTCTCTATAGTCTCTATGAGGGAGATTTCTATACATTCCCCACAACTAAGGATTGTAATGAATTCTGTAAGTCCTAATTAAAAATATATAATTATTGTTTATAAATATATATTTTATTTATCTGTTAGGGTGATGATTATTTGAATGAGTTTTGAGTTTTTTTTTTTTTTTTTTTTTTGATACGAGCTTTTTAGTCGATGTTTTGCAATGAAAAGGAAAGCATCCATTATGCGACGGGTTTCACCGTTGGTTAAATGTTATCTTCGAGAGGTTCTATTTCTGCATTACTGTCAATTCTGGACGCATTGTTCACAGAATGAGTCCACATATAAAAATAAATTATAGGATGAAGTAACTCAGAATGCACTTACTTATCACTTCCCAGTAATCGATATGTACGGCTCATATCTTTAATTTCTTGCGTTATTTCACCATTGCGCAGCGACTTGCCCTGCATGCCGTGCTTGTGGAATGCTAAAACACTATCGGGTAAACAAACTATGGAAATAGAAAAACAAATTAATTGTAAAAAAAATACAAAATCATTTATCATTTATATCGTAGACATCCGAAATTATAAACTACTCACCTATACTATCCACGTTGAAATCGAAATTCAACTGGGAGACCATTTTCTTATGCTGTTTTGGGTTACCTTGCAGCGTAACCACTTGTATCACATTTCCATAACACACAATTATTGCATCCTTTTCCACCTGATGGACTTTTACCACTTTGAGTAGATCTCGTCGGGGTACCATTGTGGCCATAGCATCATATTCCAAATCATCCGAGTGGAACCAACTTGCACCTATATATTCGTGTACGAGTAGTGTGTTGGTTTTGTGCGTGCGTGTGTGTTTTAGTATTCAACATTTCCCCCGCGACAAGGAACGAAGAAGAAATATCAAAGGCAAAACACACAACAGGACGGGGATACACACACACAAAGTGGGTGGGAGGAAACCAAAAGCAAAAGAAAATCAGAAAAAAGACATAAGGGGGATCAGGATTTTGGGAAAGATCAGTAACAAACAAATAAATTGCACACACACAGCAAAAAAGAAATAGGAGCAGAAAAGGAAGAACAAACAAAAAGCACACAATAAGTAACAATTCCAAAGCATATACTGAAATCTATACCACTGTTCATGTTGATGAGTTCCAGCTTGAGGCAGCCGTTAACGGCCTTCCGTACTCCCGTACACACAATGGGGTATTCCAGTTCGGGCGTAATAATCATCTCAAAGACAGGCGTGCGTCCGTTCTGCACACAACCATGACCACCACCGAGTATGCTTGTGGCCGGCCACTCGCATTGTTTCAACAGCATGAATTTGTTCAAGGGGTCATACCACTGCATCAGGAATATGCCGTTGGGTGTTGCACCACACAAATACTTGTAGCCGTTGTAGGGATTCCGCGTCACACAACACTGTGTACAACCTTTGGTATCGGGTACCTTTGTGGTCAAGGCAAACTTGCGTGGCACCAGCCGTTCTGGAATCTTGTTCATGTGCATCGAAAATCGGTGCGTTTGCTTGGAGTGTAGGGCGATTAGATCGTGGCGATACAATTGACACGATTTACCCGATAAACTCATGAGGACATCCTTAATGACATACAACCATGTCGTACGTCGGGGGAACAATTGGTCTATGGCAGCATCGTGTAGTTCGTTCATATTCAAATTGAATATACCTTCTTCGGCTCCGATGAGCAGATGTTGGTCTCGTGTCTCCGGATGGATCCACGAGGCAGTGCAATGAACACGTAGAGGACAACCATTGAAGATTTTGGAGAAGCAGGCACCCATGTGAACTTTGGGTGTCGGTGGCAGGCCATTCGATATGGGGCGTGGGGGTGTGTGTCGTCGTCTGTGGGAGCGTTTGGGAGGCACAGGAGGTGTATTGTTTAGTAAATCGGGTTGGGCTTCTTTTTCAACTGCAAGGAAATAGGCAATATATCATTGTAGATTCTAAGATATCGACATTCAAGGGTAAAACTTACTTTCATCATCATCTTCCTGAGTACCACCGTCACTTAGACTTCGTGTACGCGATGATTTGCCCATATCGTTAATCAGACCGAGTAGTTGATCCATGGAACTGTGTCTTCTTGGTGAATCTTCCAAACCATTCTAAAAATAAATCGAATGCAATTAAAATCACTCCGAAGCTTCGGCCATACGCAACGTGTCAGCTGACTATCTACCAACCTGATTATTTTCCTGATGGTGATGATGATGATAATCACAGTTATGATGGCTGTTATAGTTCATCAAATTATTGCTAGTTGTTTGTTGATCATTCGTTGTTGTATTTCCGGCTGCCGCAGCTGCTGCTGTCGCCGCCGAGGATGATGCATTATTGGCAGAGGCGGATGATGACATGGCTGAGGATGTCGAGGCGACAACATCACTGGTCGTATTGCTGTTTAAATAATTGGAACCATTATTGCGAAGGTAATTATTGTAAATATACGTTGAGGAGTAGGAGGAGGAGGAGACAGATGCTATATTCGGACAAATGGACGCACAACTGGACATGGCACAATTGTTATGATTGTTAGTAGTAGTACAAGATGATGAGGAGGAAGCATTAGCATTAGATGACGCGGACGCATTAGTGTTACATAACAACAATGAGGAGGAATGTAGGTGACCACCACTAATACCACCACCCAAGTGACTAACACTACTACCCGAACTAGAATTGTTAGAGTGCAGAAATGATGATGAAGAAGGTGAGTAAATATCTTGGCTATGATGACGATGGTGATGATGATGGTGATGCTGATGTTGATGGTAGTGGCTGCCACCACCACCGCCACCACTACTACTGTTGCCGTCGCCGCCGCCGCTGCTGCTGCTGCCATGCTGATGACAACTATTGCCACCGACACCAGCATTGTTAATGCTGCCGCTGCTGCTGCTACTGGCAAAGTTACTACTACCAATTCTATGGCCACCACCAACACCATCGTGGTATGGGTCAATGCCGCTACCACTAACACCACCACCGCCACTACCACCACCCCTCTGATCAGAACATGAATTATCCATAGGATGATGACTGTACATTGAAGTCGATGTGGACAATTGGCCATTGGAGGATGCTGTTGCGGCTGCCATCGCTTGATTTGCCGATGCTGGAATCGAAATGGGCCGGCTGTGATTGTTGTAGTTGATGTATCCATGTCGCAGCATATCGAAATGGGCAAACAGTGATGAATGATTATCGGTGAGATCGATGGCATCCAATGCCGTGGTGCGCAAATTCGAATAACCACTGCCATAAGTTAGCGATGATGGACCATTACCACTGCCGCCATTTGTGGTCGTTGTTGAGGAGGTTATTAAAGCTGCGGCCGGTGTGGAGGAGGAGGAATTGGAGTTGGAATTGGCGGACGACGACGATAAAGCCGTTGTTCCTGATGTGATGCCATTTGTCGACGACGATGAGGAGTTGGATGATGTAATGTTATTATGGTTACTGTTGTTAGCGACACCATTATTTCCACCTCCTCCACCACCACCGCCACCACTACTACCGCCGCCGTTATGGCTACAATTGCATTCAGTGCTTAGTAAATCTTTGGTATCGGTTAATGGCAATGTGGCTCTGCAAAAAGCAAAAGAAAAAATAACAAGAACAACATATGGAAGAAAAAACGGGAGAGAAAGAATGCAACAAAATGTATATGAGAGTGGTATTCAATAATCTAGTGGTACAATCATGATGTTCTTAGATTAGATACAAATATATTAGGGGCATAAATGCGTAATCTATTAGAATGGAAACATTTGACCACAATTGCATTAACATTTGTTACTATTGGTTGTTCCGAACATACTTGGTAAAGAACATATTGAGATTTAAAAAATTTAAATCTTAAAATCAATAAAGAAAAATAAAACATAATTACCATAAATAGAAAATCTCATGGAGATAGCCAAAACCGAACATTCTCGTAAATGACAATGATTTGCCTTTATTTCCATTTTGTCGAAGTTTATTCGACCATAAGGTGGAGAGTATATATATATATATACAGTGGAATCGTTTGCAATATTTTTGAAAATTTTTTTAATTCAGAACACTTCGATATACTGTACTTAAGAGATTTAGTATGAAAATGGAAAATTATTGCATGCAATTTTTCCATAAATAACGGTTTTTATGAAAATACATCGACTTTGAAGTGGCCATATAATTAAAACATTGTGTGATTTTTTACTTTACTGTATTTTTTGAACATGTTTTTTAAAAATTACTTAAATTTAGGTAAGTTATGCAAATTAAGCATCAAATGAATCGAGGGCTGATCAAAAAATGTTTACCACAATAAATGTTTTAATTGCGTGACCACCACTGTATATATATATTGTATAGCACATCCTTGTTCTAAAAATGATTAATATTGACTGAAGTTTAAGGGTAGCACCTATATAAGGTACCCCCAATATTCGGTACTTTTGTGATTTTTTAACCGAATTGTCTGTAATTTAGTATTACCCCCACATTTCTACTAAAAATGTTTAATATTGAGCCAAGACGGCATTTTAGGAGTTTTGGAAACGTTTTTCAACCGATTTGGCTGTAATTTCTATTTTCATTTGGGTGGAAAGTATAAAAAGTTTGATAGGTCCGAACATGCTCCACTTTTCTATTTTCCTTCAGATACACAGGATGACCACATTGCACCAAGGGTCTTTGAGTGAAAACAGTTGCTAAATGATTGGGGGCTCAACATCCTATAACCTATTCTAACTTTGTCTCCCGAGATCTACACGGCCGATTGCGAACTTATAAGCATCTTTTAAAGCATTGAATCCACATTTCTATAGGATGTGGCTTAATCACCCTATAAAGATTTAAGTTTGTCATGACGAGTTAATTCAATTTTTATACCCTCAGCCTTATGGCTAATGATACTATGACAATGATACTATAATAATGTGACTCATCGAAATATTCGTTTTAGATCCCATGTTTCTTTGGACCAAAACCGTTTCTGAAAAATTGGAGCCGTCCGTCCATCTGTCCAAACTTTGCGCATCTTAAAATTTCTTTCAAAATTTTCGGACTATCCGATTTGAACCAAACATTGTACAATCTATTATCTTTACCAAGCCTGATCAAGTAGTAATATGGGACCCGTCGGTTCAATCCTTCTGGTACCTCCCCCAACAAAGGGTCAAAATTTTCAATATTTATAAATCCAAAATCATGTGACTGGAATGTCCGATTTGAATCAAAACTTGCACAACATATTATATTTACCAAGTCTAGATCAAGTAGAAAGATGGGATTTAAAATTTGTCAACGTTGTCATTTATGGTCAAATGTTTCGTACTCATTATTTAAAATGTTCTACAGTAGATTTCGCTTTTAACGATTTCCTTGCTAGCTTTATAATTGAGAACTGTAATCAAGTTCTTGAAGAGATCCCTTTAGATCCACTATAACAAATCAAATATCGATACCCATTTAAAATTGTTAATTTTCCAGTTGTCGTTGCAAGCAAATTCTACTGTATTTTTAGGAAAAAACAGGAAAAGGAAGAGTAAAGGAGACGTTTACATGTTCCTATAACAAAGTATTTAATTGCTTCATTAGAGTTTGTTGGTGTTGTTTTTGTTTTCATTTTTCTTTACTGTCGTTTATAGGATTAAAATAAACACTTAATTTTTTATATTGTTATATATAAGAAGCTTTGCATGACATCTTAAAAGACCAATGCAGTTACCAACTAATGAATGCATTATCACAAACACACTCGCATATATACACACAGGCATACACATATAGATACATACAATTCACATTTTGGGAATTCATGCATATGGGAAGGATGCATGTCTGTGGAAAAATGATTATGATCTTGCTACATATTGATGTGACTGACTGTGACACTACCATCACAACTACAACCATGATAATGATGGCGATGATGTTGTTGTTGTTGAATATAATGCCATATAAATGAGAGTATGTCATGACAATACAAAAATACATAAACTATCATATATAACAGATTATGTTAACATATGTATTTGTATACTGCAGCACATGTATGTATGTTTGTCTATATATGGATAATGGTGATGATAATGATGTATGTATGTATATGAAATATAACATGCACAAGGCTGGCTGTTTTAATGTTTATATTATCAACAAATAAACCATATTATGTGAGTGTTAGTAATCTGTGCGTGTGTGCGTATGTGTGTTTTTGTAAACAATGAATGAATGAATGGCTTAAAAGAAACATTTCATTTTTAATGACAAACATTTGCCACTGTCAACAAATATATTGGGGTGGACATTTCGAAAATAAAAAATGATTTGCCAATTTTGTAAGACACCGAAAAAGTGACTAATTTAACGTAGATATTTTTAATATTTTTTAATGTACATATTTTTTGTGACATATGTATCAGTTGTAATCGAGGTATGAAAAGGAACAAAAAAGTTCATCATTATAGGCAATTTTGAAAGAATTGGTGAACCACATCGAACTTTAAAATTGTTAATCTATTAAAATCTATTTTTGTCTTTAAATGTATGTCACTTTCTTAATTAAATGATCAAACCTATTTTATTTCCGCTATAAAACATTCTTAAAGTATTTTATTGATTTCAATGACTGCCGTCATAGCCTAATACTTTTTTCAACAATCTTATTTTATTTTTCAATCGTTATGGATATCAAATATAAATTCAAGCATACATAAATTATAAAGTAACACAACATCAGTGTGGCCATTTCGAGTAGTATTATTGCTGGTGTTGATAATTTTGCATTGCAAAATCTCAATCTCAATTAAATGAAATAATATTTTGTGTGTTTGTTTGTGTGTGCTTTGCAATGAAATATGTATATTTTAGCAATTTATTATATTTGTTTGTTATGCGGTCAATTAATCTCTGCTAGATTTAATTTTATATTATTAACAATAAGCCGACAAATGATTATCCATTTCGACCAACAAGTAGGATATTTTATAATTATTTTTTCGTTCAGGTCGCTTTTGTATTGGATTAATATGGAAAATATATTTGCTCGTAATATATAAATAATGTTATGTCAATTGTATGCAGTAAAATCAGTAGAAAAATTCAAATATTCGCGAATAAACGGATGGATGTTAGTGAAACAGATATATATCAGCCAGGTTTCTGATATTTCACTTTAAAAAGGTATCGTTCGTTATAATATTTAAACAATACTAACAATACAAAGTAGGTCAATTTTTTGGCATAACCTCATATAAGGGTTTCAATAGACTTACAAGTATTTTAATGGCCCTAGGCTCAGTTTCCAAATGAAGAGGCTGTAAGTTTGAATTTCAGGTTTATTGAAGATACCACCTTTTTTGCAGGCAATGTTACATAGTCCGCTTATCTTGTGTACTAAAAAAGTTCTAGACCCATTTTTGAACCAAAGAGGCATTTCGGTCTCAGACAAAAAAAATCCTTCTGCTGAAGAGAAAACATCGTCAAAACAATACCAGGTATCTAAGTAAAAAAATAACCAGAAACAAAAAGAAAATTAAACCAGTGAGCGGGACGGGCCGACCGTATAATCTGCGGTATCTTTTCCGAATCATGTTTCCTGGAGTATAAAATTCTTCCAAAAGATTCAAATTTTGTTATTATAAAAAAAATATTGACCGATCATTTTCTAAACAGCCGTTCTAAGAATTTGGTCAGATACCCTTCCCCGTTTGAAACATGTTATGTTCTGCATATAATAATAAGCTGCATAATAAGCGACTAAAAATCTGACAAGAATAAGGTGTTTTATTCATTGCACCACCTAAATATCATCTCAACATCACGAAAATTATAGACATTGTCCTTGACCATAACCGGAACTTCGTGTAAAATTTCCAAGCGATCAGCGCGACATTTTCGTCCTCTAGTGGGGTAATAGTAATACTAAACAATATCAAACACATATACACCTTTAAATCTATACGCATAACTCCCACATCCGAATACACACAACAGTATGGGTATACTATCTACTTCTCGGGTCTATGTCCTTCAGGAGTAAATATATACGCCATATAATTCAAATTTTGTAATTTTTCACACAAATGTCTATGTCTATTTGACCGATCTTCAAGGAAACAGTCATGCTCATTCCTGGTGTAAAATTTCGTGGTATTCGGGTTATAATTGTGGTCTCTAGAGCGACCAGAAAAACAGACAAAAAAGGTTTTTGCTCCATTTCATCCCCTTACATGCAAAATTTAGTAACGATTTGTTTATTACTGTGGCTTGAATAGTGTTTAAAAATTATAATGGACAGACGGATGGACGGATTTTCATCGCCAGTTAATGCTGTTGGTGCGTTCAAAAGCATTTTAAGTATTTTAAATACTCTATCCACATTTCCAAACCGATTCACTGTAATCTAATTTATTTTAATTATTTCGAATTTAAGAAAATAATCCTTCCAAAAATCCAATTCTTGAAACTGTCATCAATAAAAAACAGCATCACTTTTGTCGAGGTTGTTGGGTGTCAATGTTTAACATAAAATAATGTCATGGTGTAAACGTGATAGTTTATTAGCGCACTTTGCATTTTATCTTTTGATGACATTT